TAATCTGCAAAAAAGCGTTGATCAAAATTGACTTTGGATAAGAGATTATGGATTATCCCGCGTGCGCTCTCCGTGAAAACACGGTCATCACACAACATAAACTTAACGATTAGCTAAGGCAGTGGTTTCATGATTAGCAATCATAGCAGTCATATCTCAAAAACCGCTAAAGATAGTAACTTGAATTTGTGTTTGTGTCTGTTTGATATCAAAATAACACATTCCCAATTTAAATCTAACCCGCAAGGTTGCCAACTCTCACGTATCTGGCGTGATACTCACGCGTTCAGACTCACGTTCACGCAAGAGATCTTACAGCAAATCTACATTATTCCATTATAAACCTACCTAACATCATTAGCTACATCAAAAGTGTTAGGGTAGTCTTCAAACCTACAGACTATTTACAAGGTAATAAAACGGTCACACACACACACACACACATATTATATATATATATATATATATATATGTGTGTGTGTGTGTGTGTGTGTGTGTGTGTGTGTGTGTGTGTGGTACTTTCGTTTAAAGTACCCGTCTACCACCGGGACTTTATACTCCAGTCCATCCAACCATCCATTTTTTGTATTGTGGCGATTGCGTGTCATTTAAAAATACTCTCGCTTTAAAGATAGAAGCTGCTGTTTTTTCCGTCTGTCTACCATCGCACACACGAAAGCCATTTACGCGTGACACATACTCAGGCTTAGGAAACTACACGCAGTCCATGGCAGACAGCACACGCTTACAATATTTACTATTTACTGCATAAAACCCCAATAATGATGGAATTTGCGCTGAGAGCTGGAGGTTTAGTTTAGATCTGCACAATTGTTTGGACGGAATTTGTAACCAAATACTCGGACATTTTAACATTGACCGCTAGGCCTGTTCATCTTTGTCACCAGTAGCACCTGTGCATGAAAATCGGTTTCTTGTTTGACGGAGTTTCGTTGTACACGCTCGATGATAATAAAGATATTCTGTTTAGAATATTTATGAAGTACAGGCCGGATGTACTAAAATACAACGAAGTTCTTACTTTTCCATAATGCATAAACAATTAGTCTCATACCTTCTGAAATGCAAGGTCCAAGACTCCAAGGCTATTCCCAAACAAATTTGGTCAACGTCTACTACACAATTTTCAAGTAAAATTTGAAATTGTTTGCACTATCTGTACTGTCTTTGCGCCATGTCTGTTTGGCACCATATCTATGTTCGCTGTGCACTATGTTCTCGCGGCTCTGTGTTCCAGAATTTTCCTCCTGGGATCCACCGTAATCTTAACATAAACATGCTAATGGTGCCAACCTAGCAATGCCTGGACTCACCAGCAGGATGTGCTAAAGGCAATGCTGTGTGAAGTTTAGAAAACATGTCAAATGCAAAGACAGAACTAACATTGCTTGACAGGCACAGTTTAATAATTGTTTTTAATTTTGAATGTTTCTGTATAGGAGTCGTAACTGTGCCTACATAGTCAGTCGAAATGTACTTAGAGCACATCCCTAAGAAACAAAGTAATTTCAGATTGTACCTAAGAGTTTTGATTTTCTCAGAGTTTTAGTAGGCTTGTAATGTCTAATGCATGTTTCTCCTGCCCTGTGCTTCAGGAGACTGGCTCCAAGTGCACCTGAACCATTATGGAAGGTGGATGGCTGAAATAAATATACAGTGCCCGTCAAATGTTTACACACATCTACAGAAAACCATTTGTTTTTCAACAAAATAGCGACCTTTAGCATGCTTCAAGGTTATATAGAACTGTATTATCTTGTGAACATGGAAAGAGGTGGAGTGCTGTAACAGATGACCCGGCCCCCACAATCCCCCGACCTAAACCCAATAGAGCTGCTTTGAGATGAGTTGGATGGAAGAGTAAGATCAAGGTAGCCAACTTGTGCCCAGATCTTTGGAAACTCCTACCGATCTGTTGGAGAAGCATTCCATGTGGCTACATCTGGAAGCTGGTTGAAAGAGTTTGCAGTGCTGTCATCGAAGCAAAAGGGGGCCAATTTGAGGAGTAAAATTTTAGAAAATATTTATGTTGAACACTTCTCTATTACATTGCAATATTTGAGACATATTACTTCATTGCCTTAAGGTCCTTGACTACAAGGTGAATCACATAGCTAAAACAGAGACGGATGCATTAAAAGCAGGTGTGTCCAGACTTCTAACTAGTACCGTATATTATATAATAGCTGTACGTAATAAATCCAAATGAAAAAATAATCCTGTTCTACAGTAGGGATGTAGGGCTATGAGGCTAGGGATCTGTGCTGGCAGTTGGAAGTTTGCTGGTTCAAATCTTGTGAATGCCAGGATGCAAGGCCTTTAACCTGCAATTGCTCCATCTTGGGTATGACGTTAACCTACATCCAGCCCTGCAAGCAGGTCCTCCAACTTTCAGGGAAAATTTGGGGGTTGGTGGAAGGATTGGCACTCCAGCCACCAGAAAAAAACTTCACACTGTTCTGTTCCACTTAAACTAGTGTGGTCCTGAGGTATCACCCGCTGCCCTCAGGTACTCATTCCTGAGGTGGGTTGCTGTGTGGTGGGCGCAGCTCACGTTCTTTACTTCTCTCAACTGCAGGGGCTAATCAGAACTCAGCACATAAATATGAATTAGCTGGACTGAATACTGCTTTCTCAGTGGCATTCTGAAGTGAAGATTAGTTTAACACAAAATGAATAGTTTCACGTTAAAGGTTATCGTTAACTGGTTTGGCTGTTTGAGAGGCAGGAATGACTCAGTCGAATATAGGAATGACTTTCACTCTCTTTCAGTAACCGTTAACTTGGACGCACTTCATACGCCTTTGTGCATGTCTGATGATGCACCCGTCCATTGCACAGTACACTTGCATGCCCACACATTCACACACTGATGGATAATAAAAGTAAAGGGGTCAGGAAACAGGAGCACAAACAGGAAACACATGCAAGATATCAACCTTGCACAGAGCCAGGAGCCAATCTGAACCCAGAGCTCTCTTGAGCTGCTGTCCCCAAAAATTAATTAAAATGCATAATCAAGTGCAGAGAATACAGTGCATGCTCACGTCTTGCTGGATTTCCCAGTATCTTCCTGGATGCCTTTTAGGATTTTTTCCATCCTGTTTGCAGCATCTAGGTGTGTAAGTTGTAATCTCTCACTGAATGGCTGCATGGCTATATTGGTTCCTGAAGCAGGCTGACGTTGTGGTGCCACAGAGGCCAACCAGATCCTTGCTCAAACCACTAGAAAAAATAGCCAACATTTCCTCTTGCTCTAGCCCACTATAACTGCAATTTACTGGCCACCTAAAATCATCAAAGGACAACATTTTCTGGGAGAGGAAAATCGTGCAAGTTTTGTTTATTAAACAACTGGACATGGAACTACTTAAAACAATGATCATGACTCTTATGGTTCGAGCCAAATTAAGGATCTCGCATATTGCGTTAAGATATTGGTTGCATGTTACAGGCAAGCTTACCAAGAGTCAAAAAGTTTATTGGCCATGTGAAATGGATGCATTGGAATGTTTGCTCGTTCAGCTACACCTGGGCTATATAGAGACTACAGTCAGTCCAAGATAATACAAGACAGTGCAAAATAGTGCAGAAAGTCAGACACAGTGCAAAAACTAGAAAATTATGCTGATATATAGAGCTCACAGAAAGTCTTGGGATGCTTGATTCTGTAAAAATTTTGACAGATTTATTGGTTTCATAACAGGAGTTAATTGACAAGCAATGTTTAATGTATCTGCTCAAGTCTAATGCACAGACATTTTCTTTGTATTAGAATTTAGTGACTAATTGTCATTGTTGACACAACAACACAATGTATTTTCTACATTTGACCCATATGTGACATAGCAGGGGGCCAACTAATTAAGTGCCCGGTGAGCAGTACTTGGGGGCGGTACCTTGTTGGGCACGGATTCGAACCTGCAATCTCTCAATTATAAGTGCACATCCCTAACCATTAAACCAACACTGCACACATGTACATGTACATTTACAATTTAAATGCACAAAAATTGCACTGACAGTTCTTGCCTTTTTGGTATTAATTGCGATCATAGTCATTGGCTCCCAAAGGAATATTAAAGACATTATTGCAGAGGTGTTGCTAATTAAAACGCACCCGATAAGACTGCTTGTCGATTAACTTTTTAACTTTTGAACAGCTCCTTCATACTTGAAGCATACATTATGATGGATGGCGAGGATCAAAATGTCATTGATTGAAATGAGTGTGAAAAACTAGCGGCCTCTAATTGAACAATGGCCTCTGTACTACAAACATCGAGATCGAGGGTGGTGCTGCTCTGTCAGGTGCACTTTTACAGGAAGTGGAGGAGATGACAAACCCTTCCTGGGACAATTCTTTTGCCTGTTTGCTAACAGAGAGAGTATTTCAAACCTTGACACGCTAAGCATCTTTCTGGTTAATATCACTTTCTAGTTAAGTTCATGACTTTTCTGCAGACCAAAATATTTCAAGATATTGTATTGTATTATGTTGATATATTGAAGATGTATAATCGATAAATAGTTACACCAGAACTCGAACAATTCGTACTTCATATTTTTTTGATAGGCCACTAGAGGGCAGATGTTTTACATGTGATGCCTTGTCACATCACCAATTATGGATGAAGTACTGGTGTATAAAAGGGGGGGGGATGTGGCCAGGTGTCAATGGCTCATGCATACACATAAGAGCTCCTAAGTATTCAAGGAAAGGAGCCAGAAATAGTGACATGAGTTAGGTTTTTTTATTTATTTATTTACTCAACTGAATGTTGCAACTACACCATTTAGTCATCCTCATGTAGCCAAGACTTTGGTGATCAGATATCTGGGATCAAAACAAGCTGCCAGCATTGCTTAGTATGTACTTTTATAATGTTTCTGCAAGTGTTCCAATCTGCATTTTGCAATGTCTATACTTTGATGTCAAATTACAAACTTAACAAAAATCTGACATATTTACAATATATATTAAAATAAAGATGAGTGTAATGGCAAAACAAATATATAAGAAATAATTTATTTGCCATGAATTAATATTACGATATTTGAAGAAATATGTGATCATGCCCCAGTCAGTGAAAGTGTGTTCCCAACCCCTAGACCTCAGAGGGTTAAAAAGGGCTGTGAAAATTGCAGCAGTTTCCTGTGTTTCTCTCTTTCTGCAGAACAACTGCAAGGTGAGTCCAGCTGGCACAGGCTGGAGGTGGCTGCAGTGATCCTAGTGCCTTCCATCCTGATGTTTGTAGCTATCCTGCTGGGTATGTGTATAGCTCAGGGATATCGCTGTGCTCGCTGCAAGGCCCAAAATCCCGATGTGGAGGAGCCACTGGATGATCAGAACCTCATGCCCCCCGAAATGTGTCTCAGGGACCTTATCTACAATCTCAGCACCTCCGGATCTGGACCAGGTGTGATGCTATGTTGCATTCTATTTACAACCATCATCCACATTCAAAGCCAGACCAACATGGCGCCTCTTTCTCCATTACCAGGACTTCCGTTGTTGGTCCAGAGGTCTATAGCTAGAAGCATTATCCTCCAGGAAATCATTGGGAAGGGCGGCTTTGGTGAGGTGTGGCGGGGAGAATGGCATGGGCAGCATGTGGCCGTCAAGATGTTCTCATCCCGGGACGAGCGGTCCTGGTTTCGAGAGGTGGAGATCTATCAGACAGTCATGCTGAGGCACGAGAACATCCTGGGCTTCATAGCAGCTGATAACAAAGGTTCAAATCACACTCATTTTTACTCCTGTAGACTTTATTGCCAAGTTTATAGAAAGTCCTATTCTAAGTTTAAATGGATTTTAAAATGATTTGCATTACCTATGCTGAGATATCTCTGGGCCTTTCGCGGTGAATTTGTGTACACTTAATCCATTCACTTTGAACCAACTTCCAACAAAATGTCAGCATTTACCGGCACCATATTTCATTTGCTAGTTTTCATTTTTATAATCTGGATCCAAACATGCAGAGGTTGTAAACAGTCCGTTGTAAACAGTCATTCTCGTTGCAGATAACGGGTCGTGGACACAGCTGTGGCTGGTGTCGGAGTACCATGAGCACGGCTCCTTGTTTGACTACCTGAACAGGCACATGGTCTCTGTGGAGGCCACACTTGTCCTGGCTCTCTCTGTAGCCAGCGGGCTGGCCCACCTGCACATGGAGATCATTGGCACTCAGGGTGAGCTATTCGCCTGTCACTGAGGTGTACAGTCTGTCACTGTTCCTCACCAGTTTGATGTAGCTTCTCCCGCTTTTCAATAAAGTAATGGGAGATGGTGAAACTGGAAAGATGCTCTTTGGCGGCAGCTTTTGCTCTCAGGACAACCAAGGCCGATCGTGAACTTTTCTCAAAGTACATTTGGACGATGCCAAGGTAAACTTCCGGTAAAACCTGGGCCACTATCGGTTTGGCAGGAAAACCCGCCATCGCTCACAGAGACTTGAAGTCCAAGAACATCCTGGTGAAGAAAAACGGCAGCGCGGTTATCGCTGATCTGGGCCTGGCAGTGAAGCACGACTCCATCGCCAACACCATTGACATTCCATCCAATCACAGAGTGGGAACCAAAAGGTAGGGACTCGCCTTACCTGAAAATGACCGCATGAACGTTCGAGCTAGCTGACCTATAATGCATTCTTAAAATATGGTTTTTATTCAGATTTATTGTCTAGGTTACTATAGCCATTCATACTAAATGTGTCCAAGATGATTCTGCGAGTATTTGAGCTATCTGTGTGGATGGTGGCACAGCACATCACACCTGTTTTCCATGTTAACCATCATCTATATATCCCATAACAAAGCCACCCTCTCTTCAAACAATTAAAAAGTAAATCTCATTACCTGTGACAGCAATAAAGAATTTCATGAATACCCCATAATCCTCTCCACTATAGGGACCCTCTTAACTCAGTACCTATGACCAATGAGTATTTTAAGTCATATTAGATGTGTTTTCTTAGAATAAGCCTATAAAGAGAATAGTGGGCTCCTCATTTGCCTGTTTTCATTCTCAGGAAAAGTGTTCATGCATAAGTACTGACGAGTTCACTGCAGGTACATGGCCCCAGAGATCCTGGACGACTCGATCAACGTCAGCAATTTCGAGTCCTACAAGCGGGCAGATATTTACTCCCTAGGCCTGGTGTTCTGGGAGCTGGCCCGCAGGTGCTCCCTGGACGGTACGTTCGCTGGGTTCAGCAATGCACAAGTATGCCTGATAGTGGCAGTGTAGTACGAGAACTGATTCTTAAAGCTGTGTTATGTGGTGATGTGCGGTTTGGTATTTGGTGCAACTCGTGGGTAGAATTTTATTGCTGGGCTTTGAGCAGCCTTTTGAAGTCCAACGAAAGTTGGCACACAAGCAAGTATTATGATATTATACTAGCATGAGTATAATTGACTCATACGAATTTTGAGGGAACAAAATGCTTTAAACTACACTATATGGACAAAAGTATTGGGACACATTGAATTGGAATAATTGAATCCAGGTGTTTCATTCAGACCCATTGCCACAGGTGTATAAAATCAAGCACCCAGCCATGCAGTCAGGTTTACAAACATTTGTGAAAGAAAGGGCTGTTCTGAAGAGCTCAGTGAACTCAAGCAGGGTGCTGTCGTAGGATGCCACCTTTGCAATAAGTCAGTTTCTGAAATTTCTTCCTTGCTAGATATTCCACAGTCAAATGTAGATGGTATTAATGCAAAGAGGAGCATTTAGGAGCAACAGAAACTCATGAAGTCATGAAATGGCAGATCATGTAAAATAACAGAACGGGGTCACAGAGTACGGAGGCACACAGTGTGTAAAAGTCGCCAACGTTCTGCTGACTCAATAGCTGCAGAGTTCCAAACTTCCTGTAGCATTTACCTCACCACAAAAACTGTGTACCAGGGGCTTCATAGAATGGACTTCCATTGCTCCATTGAGCAGCTGCATGCAGGCCTCACATCACCAAGTACAATACCAAGTGTCAGGTGCAGTGGTGTAAAGCACACTGCCACTGGACTATGGAGCAGTGGAAACATGTTCTATGGAGTGATGAATCACACTTCTCTGTCTGGCAGTCAGATGGTTTGGTGGATGCCAGGAGAATGCCAACTGTAAAATTTGGTGGAAGGGGGATTATGGTGTGAGGTTGTTTTTCAGGGGTGGGGCCCTTAGTCCTACTAAAGGGCAGACCTTTTGGAAGACATTTTGGACAATTACATGCTTCCAACTTGGGGGGAACGGTTTGGGGAAGTGTCTTTTCTGTTCCAACACGACTGTGCCCCATTTCACAAATCAAGGTCCATTAAGACATGGTTGCAAGAACTTGACTGTCCTGCACAGATCTACAGTATGACCTCAACCCCATCAAACACCTTTAGGATGAACAAGATCGGCGATTGCGTGCCAGGCCTTAACACCCAACATCAGTGCCTGATCTCACAAATGTTCGTCTGGATGAATGGGGAAAAATTCCTACAGACACACTCCAAAATCGTGTGATAAGCCTCCCCAGAAGAGTACCAGCTGTTACAGTGGCAAAGGGGGGGGGGGACAAACTCCATATTGTTGCCTTCGGATTTAGAATGGGATGTCATAAAAGTTCCTGTGGGTGTAATGGCCAGGTGTCCCAATACTTTTGTCCATATAATGTAGATTTATAGTTGCTGATGCTTCTTCTGTCATCTGTAGGGAGCTGTGAAGATTACCGGTTGCCTTACTATGACATGGCAGGATTAGATCCTTCAGTAGAGGAAATGAGGAAGGTGGTCTGTGACCAACAAGTCAGGCCCAGCATTCCTAACCAGTGGCACAACTGGGAGGTATGGAGGATCATTCTTAACCAATGGCTATGAGGCAGAAGAATGAGGATCGCAAATTACATAAGGGGGGGGGGAGCATTTCTAAATAATGGCAAAGCTGTTTAATAAGGATGGATTGTTCCTAATCAATTGCTTTTAGCTGGGATAATTAAGCTGAAATTTGAAGTTTGGATAGTATCACACTAAACCTGGGATAGTTGTGGTATGAAGAGGCTGAAAAGAGGTCATATGACCAGGATAAAATGTCACAAGTTGTCATTCATGCTGGTGCTGGTGGTGGTGCTGCTTATCCGTGCCAAAATCCTGCCGATTTGTAGGTCATGTTAAAAATAGTCCTTCAGCCGGCTACAAGAATTAATGGAGAATGAAAATATATGTCTCTGTGTTGATGCAGGCGCTGAGGATCCTGGGAAAGACGATGAGGGAGTGCTGGAATGCCAACCCTGCTGCCCGACTCACTGCCTTGCGAGTTAAGAAAACCATCACTCAGGTGACCGTTGTCAAGACCAACTGATTAGCTAAGTTCGCTGCTGCATCAAGGTGGCTGACCCATCCAAGCAGGACACTATTCTACAATCTATCGGCCATGTTGTCTTCTTGCTGTGCTGGCCAATGTACGTCACTATGCACAAGAGTATCAAGTTATATATCATGTCAAGTTATACCGTCAGACATTATACCAAACAGCCGGCAATCTAAAGCTGACACAGAAGTTGACCTCCACAGGTGAGATGTCCTGCTTACATACTACATGACTATGTGCAGGTTTCCATGTTACCTCATAAACACTGAAGCTCCCAGACATGAAGCTGGCCAGTAACGCACACTGGTGCTATGAGGATAACATAAGAATTAACTAGGATCGCATCACAGGGCTGTCATGCAGAATCACGTACAACACAGGTGTCCTGTCCGTTTATCACGCATATCTCAAGGGGACCTCTTACTTTAGTCGCCATACCAGACAAAACATTTTTGTCTCCTTGTGTAGGAAAAGTTGGTCTGTATTAAGTGCTGCTGAGGAATTGTAGGGCAATGTGCTGCTGGACCACAGGGTTAGGCAATGGAGAATGTGACAGGAGGAACTCAAGGGAAGTCAGGAAATAATCCACTTAGCCAACTTAAAAAAGGCTAGAGTTTCACATACCTCACAGGAAGGACCTCTTGCAGTTCCCTCCGTCTAGCCGTCCTACCCTATAAACCAGTGTTTCCCCAATCTGGTCCTTGGGGACCCACTACCAGTCCATGTTTGTCCTCCCTGTCAGCTCCTTACCAGGGCAAGAACGTGGACAGTCTAGCTTCCCCAAGGACCAGATTGAGAAACACTGCTATAAACCAATTAGTGCAACAAGGATTATTAGATTTTAATTGCTTACGTTATTACGGTCGCAGAAAAGCTAAGAAACTCAGTTAAACTCAGGTCTATGTGCTTTATGAGCACCATCAGGAGGAAGAGGAAGGTGAAGCAGTCTGGATCACCGGTTCTCAGATCTCTCCTCAGGAATTGCCTGCAGCTCTGTGACTGAGACTGCAGGATTTATGCAAATCACGCCATTAATCAAACACCTCATTCTGTACATGTTTTTAAAAGGCCAATGTAAAATGTAAATAGCAGAAATATTTATATTATATATAAAAATTCTTATGTCCTTTGTTTTTTGTTGCTTGTGTTGTAAGTAAAGAAATTGTATTATTATTTTAAGTGCATAGTTTGTATGTAATGTCTCTTTGGACATACTTGTGTCTTTTTTGTTTGTTTGTGGAAACTGTTGGTTGATAAAGCTCACGGTGATGTCAGTGGTGACATGAATGCATTAAAATGTAGTCTCCAATGTTAACAGTGTCATAGTTTTTTCACATCGCATGCAAGTCATTCCTGCTCAGATAGTGATCATTACACTGCTTCCTGGATAGTCTACGTCAGTGTTTCCTGACCCAGCCCTTGGGGACTCCCAGACAATCCATGCCAGACTCCTACTGGGAGCTGGGAGGGAGCAAAAACATGGACCTTTTAAAATCCTTGAGGACTGGGTTGGGAAACACTGGTCTGCATGTATACAGTTGTTGTAAGGTTTGGGGGACATTGTGACCTGGACAGAGGGCAGCATAAAGGTAAGGTGGCCCAGTGGGTGACAATGTGACGTCACACCTTAAAGGCTGGGGCTTCAGTTCCTGGCTGTCCATTTCGAGTCTGCATGTGCGGTTCTGTTCGGGTGAGTTGGTGTCTCTAAATTGGCCAGAGTATGTGTTAGTATGTGCCCTGGGGTAGACTGGCATCCCCTTAGGGTGTCTCCTGCCCTGTGCCTCCTGGGAAACCCTCCAGTCTCACCCCAACCCAACTAGAGCCCTTTTGAAATATGGATGGGCGCATGGGGGGGGGGGTCTGGAGCCTAACCCAGATGCTACAGACACAAAGGCAGAGAACAACCTAGTATGAGACACCAACCCATTGCAGGGCAAAGCACACACAGGCAATCTGCTAACTCCAGTTAATCTCAACATGTTTTTTGACTGAGGGGGAGAACCAGAGTACCTAGAGAAATCCCCACCACAACACAGAAAGCGCATGCAAACTCTACACAGGCAGAGCCATGGCAGAGACTCGAACCCTCATCCCACAGATGTGAGGCAACAGTATTAACCACTAGGCCACCATATTTGAACATGCTAAGTTTAATACATTTAAATTATGTTAAAGTTATATTTGAAAGCGTCGCTGGGGATAGTCATATCAATGCATAATAATAATTACCGTATTTACAATTTTTTACGTTTGAGGTATCCCGTAATGAATGACTCATTTTGCTCTCTCACCTTCCCCCCCCCTGAGAAAAAAGCCCAGCCACCCATGTACATAATACCTATTTTTGCTCAGGTTTGCACAGTTACTACAATTTAGTTGCTCGGATTAGTTGTTACTTAGTTACACCCCAAATATGATTTCGTAAATTAGTCCATAATGAAACCCATCCAGCTGGTGTTTCCAGCACGTTTCCATGGAGACGTCGCAGTCAGCTGCGTGGCTGACCTCTGCCTGCAGAATCGAGTGCATGGCCAGCGGTGGCAGCACCGACCGCGAGCACAAGGCTGGCCTCCTTCAGCGGGCAGGAAGGGAACACTCAGTAAGCAGCGGCTGATTTAACAAACAGATGAAAGTGATTCAGAGAAAAACAGAGATAAAATCGATCGAGGCGGTCTGTCAAACAGTAAACCTGAATGAAGAGCAGACCTCTGTTTCCAGGCCACCTGCAGCTTAATAATTGAAGACTGTCCACTCTTGCTGTCTTTTTTTTTACTGAGAGTATAACAGAAACTGGACTTGCAGTTTGAAAGATGCCAGGTTTCAGCATCTTCTAGGAAGTGTTTATGTCATCTGGTTCAAGGAACTGCTCTATTCAGTCCTACTTATCAATGCTTCATTTATCAAACCTAAATCTGAAACTTCAAGCTAAACTGCAGAGGTCAGGGCCACAAATGTACATGCTCTGTTCTGCAATCTTGCAAGGGCTACATTGTTTGATGGGATGTGGAGATTTGCACACAGCCACTAGTTCAAAAGATATGATTGATGCTTTAAAACTTCAACAAATTCATTATAGTTGTATCTAAAGTAAAAATGTTACTCTGGGCAGGATTGGAATATCTTGGCTGCAGAAGGCTACGTGACTTGCACAAACTCTCTAGTAGATGGTTGTAAACACATTTCTTCCAAAAGCAGACTCATAAGAATTGGAGGTATTTGGCCCTAATTATCCTTTAAATCATTGTGTAGCTAATAAAAATTACCCAGAGACATAAGTGTAGAAAGAATTCCAATAGCTCCCACCACCCCTGTAAGGTAGCTAATGGTATGAACTCCTAGGAGAAGGTTGTTAGTTCAAGTCCCAGGCTGGAGTGCTGGCATGAAGTGATGTTTTATTTGCACAAGTACACTGGATTGCTGCTTTTTGCATATTCCATCTTGCTCTCCCTTGTAAGGTATATACAGGATAAATTGAAACTTGGAGTCCTAACACAGGTTCAGCCATTCATCTGGTGCCCTTTCCTCAAGGACCCAACAGCAACATCACTCTGCTGGTCCCCAGGCTGAAACCAGCAACATTCTGCTTATGAGTGCAGAGTCCAAAACTGCTAAGCCACAAGCCACTCCTGCGGGGGCTATGGTACTGTCATTAAAGGTACGGTACCTCAATCGTACCGGGACACCCCAGGACTTCCTTATTGCAGTTCAACAACGAGCCTGGAGTCTCGCCAGCTGCATAAATGTGTGAATCACTTTCCATTAAGATCATCAGCTAAGTAAAGTAGAGCAGGCCACTGTGAATTTTTCAGTGGCACATGCTTCAAATTTACATTTTCCTCGTTTGAATGATTTGGTTTCATTGTGGGGACAGACACTTCATGCTTTAGAAATCGTAAATTCCAAATGAACTCCCTTCATTTCTGCAGCATATAAGATGGAGGAAAGCAGAACCACTCCTTCATTCTACCTTCACTTAGCTGGTTCTTTTATTGCTGTTCTCTGTGTCTGAGAACTTGCCAGACTGGGAGATACAGCCATTTCTGCAGACACTAGTTGCATTCTGCAGGATCACTTTCTGACATTAAGCAGTACAGGCTCTCAGTAGGCCTGGATCCCATCTCAGACTGCACAGGAGTTGGGGACAATCTGGATGGGTTGTCCACCAACCAAAGAGCTCCTTAACATTTATGTTGAAATTTCATCCATTCACTCAGTGCAGGCCTACATAGCTTCTCTCGTTTACCATCTTTACATTTGTTGTGTATGACTTTGTGCATATGATGCTTACTGGATGAACTGAAAGTATGTTGCCACCACAAGGACCCATGTCGGTTTTACATATAAGCTCCAGCGATTTCTATAACGGGCAAAATATTACCCTTCTGAATTTGCATCCCATTTATAGGGTTTGCTTCTCCAGGGCTCTGGACGCCACTGCAGTGACTCCTAAAGAGCCGACCTTCGTGAGACTGTAGGGCTGAACTCCTTCAGCCTGAGGATTCTGGGATCGATACAATATGTTTTTATTAAGGCTTTTGTTTAGCTGCGTCTGTCCGTTATATAGGACTATGATCCCTGCACACTGGTCATTTGTAAATGGATCATGCTTAGTAGGGATTGCTGACTTTTCCAGAAGTTTTCACCGTTGAATGAAAAAGGCGATTTCAGATATGTTAACCCATTTCTGTTTCACACTATTGTGATACTGTACTTGTGAGAAGTCATGATTGAGGACTGAATTGGGGCTGTCAGTTGGCCAGAGGAAGCCTTTACCATCACACTTGGCCCATTTGCGATACTGTAATGAGTCAACCTGTGTGCTTACTGTGACTGACAGGACTGCAGCGTCAGCAGTGAGGAAAAGCCAGACCCGAGTCGCGTTTGTGGTTTCCGTGCCTCGCCTTTCAAAGTTCTGGCGGTTCTCGTAAAAGGGAATTCAGAAACGCATTTCGGTAAAGAGAGAAAAGTCGTGCGCCACTAAGATAAATTAACACTACGACAGCTATTTTCTACAAACCAAAAGAAAATCCTCCTCACTCTGCTTCGCCTGTCGACACACGGAAACAAGCATCGCCACAACTCCATCAACCGCGTCGGCGTAAGACAGGAACACAGGCAGTTTCAGAGTTATTTTTCAATGATGCGTTTCTGTGTTTCTTCCGCACTTTCATCCTGTATGCAAAGAACTGCCATTACAAACTGAATGTAAGAAGGTACTGGTGATTTAGTCTAAAGCTGATTTTCATAGCACTCAGTAACCTCTGCCAGCTGTAATGAACCGCAAACTGTTATATAATAATCTACAATATAATTGTCTGTTCTAACAGTCTGCATAACAGGTATTGTTTTACTACTGAATAACCTCCTGTTATATGTTGCAAGGTATAAAAAAAATCTCCACATTAAAACTGCCACATATCTACTGGCACCCAGGTTCAGCAAGTAAAAACAAATAAAATCAGCTTTTATTTGTTCTTACTTCATGTTTACACACACAGACATTGCCAACGGTTACTGCCTGAAAAAATTCAGCTAAATTTACTATAGGTGACCCCAAAGTCCAGGGCTGATCTTTACTCCCGGTCCAGCAATGCTGTCAATGCAGTTACATGTTGCACTGTGGCCCTGAGCTATGCTATTTAATGCCACCATATACCTGTATATACGCCATCTTGATTTTTAGAATCAATGTCATAAACAGCTGCATGGGAAACACGATGTGGCGCCGTTTGGAACACGTTTAAGGTGCTCCTATTTCCTAATAGCTATTTTAACAATTGGTCTTGAGATAAACAGTACTGTGCGAAAGGCAGTCAAAAGAAACGTTTAAAGCTATTTATCTGGGTAGCATGTGCACTTTTGCTCAGAGCAAAAACCACAGTTTCACATTAGAACTTGTGAAAATTAAGAGTAACACAATAAAAACTCTCAAGAATCTCTTCTGTTCTCCAAAACGTTACTGATATCTAGTTGGACAGTTAGATGAACAGCTTCAGTTCCCAAATCTCCCCTCAGGGGCAGCCCAGTATTTGTTAAAATTTCACCACTAGTTTAAAAAATCGATGAGATATTGATTAGCTATATGAGTTGTGCTAGTGGTCCAGTCAAAAAGTACATGGGTGCATTGGATGGTTGCTGCAAATACCGGGGTGGTTATAGCAGACATTTTGAAATGGCCAAGCTGACACACTTTGACAGACATAATATCATAGTTTTACATCAATGTGAAGATCATTTAAACTTCATTTTCTTTGGCTGCCTATGACATTTACACAGTACTGTACAATCCATTCAAAGCATACATTTTCAGAACATCGGGCTTGAGTTAAATGATGCTTCTACCACCTTTGCGGTCTTGAACTCCACAGAGCAGTGTGTCTAGAGTCTTTGTGGTTGGAGGAGGATTTCATTTCAGGTCATTTCATTCTTCGACTTCTGAGGTACTTTTCACACCTTGCCCAGCTAAGGCAGGAAGATCACGGTGAGGCAAGTTGGAGATGCCATGCTTATCTAACCTGCAGGCCACAGCTGACGCCGTGATGGGGGTGACCCCAATCAACACCACTGCCACCATTCCTGATTTTTAATTACAGCACAGACTCCATGTGATCTGGATCTCTAGAGGTCTGTGGGATGTCTCACTGAAGGAAGAGAAAGGAAAATAAAGACAAATGTTTGGTGGAGAGATTTATTTTTGGGATGGTGAAAAAAAGAGGAAACCTGCAGGTCGGTGCTGACAAAAGACTTCAATCACCATCGAGAGAGGGAGAGAGAGAGAGAGAGAGAGATGCAGTGCTATAAGTGTCTTGGCATCTACAACAGTGACAGGTTGGACTGGCAGGACAACATTGAGGAGGACTACAAGGCTAGAATCCTCTGATTTGACCAGTCTGTCGTAGCCAACGTCATGATACTTACTGAGTCTGGACTCTAGAGAAGTGTGGGGTAACCAAGCTGTACTCCAGCCTGAAAAATAAGGCCCCTACTGTACCGGTCAGCTCCTTACCAGAGCTGATGATGATCACAGGAGTAACTAGCCCTTTGATTATGGGTCAATGTAGGCCCAGGCCAGTCAGGGTGCCCATGCGGACGCCCTAAAATGGGCACACAAGCATCAGAACTAGACCTTGGAGCAATGGAGAAGATCATCTGGTCTGACGAATCCAATTTCATCATTTTATGCTTTGTATCACACAGGCCAGCCTTCATTTACATCCCACATTGATGAGTCCTGGCCGCCCAAAACCCTGTCATGGTTCATGGCTTTTCCCTCCTCAGCCCGCTCTCAGTAGGTACTCACCACAGCGGACCCTGAGCCCACAAGCCTTACCGTTTCAGAGATGCTCTGACTCAGTCGTCTGGCCTTAATGACATGGACCTTATCAAAGTCACGTCTTATCACTGCCCATTTCTAATGCATTGTGTGTCGACCACAAGAACTGAATGTTAGCTTATGGTCTAAATTATCCCAGACCTGCTTGTATTGTTTTTAACAAGACCATTAACGTTATTTTTTTAAAATGGAGGTGGTCATAATGTTTTGACTTATATAGTATTTATTTATTTGGGGAGAGTGCTACTGGTGTAAAAAGAGCAACTTTTATGAATAACTTTAATCTTAATCCTTAATCCTGCCCAGTGGTGGAGGAAGTACTGAAGCTTAGTACTTAAGTAAAAGTACAAATATCCTGCAAAATATGTACTCAAGTAAAAGTAGAAGTGCTACATCAACAATCTTATTTAAGTGAAAGTACTAAGTACTTACTTTTAAATTTACTTTAAAGTATTTTTTGAAGTAAAAGTACTCACACAATGGTTTGTCTCAACGTCTGGGGTGTGCCATTTTGTAAAAGAATAGTAGATATACTGACTTACGCCTCTACCGATGTCATTGCTCGTTATAATTACAAGCAACTAAACAGTATATGTGTATTGGCTCTGGGTCCATGTCTTCTTGAAATCCAGCCAGTCTACCAGCTCGTGCTGCTAATTGACGCGCGCTCTGCCATCATTGGAGCTAATAAAGCCACCTGATTGGTAGGAAATGGCAAACAACGCCAGAACGCAATAGGCTAACTATTTTTTCATGCAAGATTTTGAGGAAATTGTGTTCATAAAATGTAACGACTAACGGGATAAATTGTAGAAATGTAGTGGAGTAGAAAGTACAGATAATTGCCGCAAAATGTAATGGAGTAAAATGAAAAGTATGCATTATTATTTTTACTTAAGTAAAGTACAGATACGTAAAAATGTACTTAAGTACAGTAACGAAGTAGAAATACTTCGTTACATTCCACCACTGATCCTGCCACGTATGGCTACCATACCATTACTTTTCATTAAGTGCACATTATACTCATAGAGGCCCAAATAACTCCTGTTAAGGCTTAATGTTGTTTTTAATGTTCTACTAAAATAACAATTAAAAAATAAACATGACCTACAGGAATGTAATCCATATAGCTTGGCCCACATGGCAAAACGCATAGAGATTCCTGTCCCTTGAAATGTAAAGCAGAGCTGTCACTGACACAGATTAATAATGGAACGGGGTGGTACCTTATTGTGGGCGAAGACGCCTGGCAGGTTCACAGCGATCACATGGGGAGCATTTCCGTTCTGAAACACTTTTACTCTTCACGCAGCCCAGAACCCGAGCTCACAAGCCATGCGACACTCTGCCGTGACCAGGGGACACCTGTGAGCTCCACAATGAACTTCAGCAGGATCAGAAGGCGAAACAGCCAGGACAGCTACGTCCAGAACGGTGCCCCAACGGGGAAGGCGCAGCTGTGGCAGCGGCGATCGTTCAATAGCTGTAGCGATGTGAAATCTATGGCGAATGCGGTGACAACCTTCGGGACTCTGCCCAGGGTGCAGAGGCAGGTGAGCAAAGTGCATTGCTGCATTAAAGTGCATTACTGCATTAAAGTGCATTACTGCATTAAACTACATTTACATGCATTTTTGAGGAGTATAGAACAAGGAATAAACAAAACATTTTGCTTGCAGCTTTTTAGTGGGAACAAATGAAATATTTTGCATGCAACTTTGCAATAAAATGAAGCATTTTCCATGAAAATGTAAGTTTTTTGCCATTAAGGGGAATGCATCCATTAAATACAGTTTGAGTATACTACGTTTCCTGCATCTTGATTTGAAATTAAATAATGTGTTTAATCGATCTAAAGGGCATGTCTGGTATATGCCTGTGGGCAACGATGGTTTGATTGTTGAACCAGTGTGGGCATTTGCGAATAATCTGCATGACAAAAAGAAAAAAAACAGCTATGCATCATTTCGAGGCTACTGTTTTTTTCTTATGATTTGTTTTTTTATCTGATGACTGTGTGTGAAATTTTTGTGGGGAGATGATTTTATGAATGAGAGCATATAAACATGTTTGCTGATGAAACCTACTAAGCACGTTTTGTTCCTAAAATGTTGTCTTGCTATCTTTATGACTAAATAATGTTGCACGATATCATGACCAGTTGCATATACTCTCGATAGTGCAGGCGTTTGCATACTTAACAGCAAGACAGTGAGAGTTGTACGTGTCTGATGTAGTGCAATGTCGTTCCCTCAGGTCAGTCGATCTCGCTCTAACTCCCTGGTAGACTACACCGATGTCAGGTAACACCCCACTTTCCTTTATCTGTTTCGATCAGCGTCCTTTTACAGCATCGAGGGCTTGGGGAGTTATTGCTGATGTCGATGTCTGCCGCTTCCATATTCATTGAGTCTGACTTGTCTCTCTTTAACGTGTGTTGCTCAGGACAACAGTTTCGCTGGAAAAGCAAGACAATGAAACATTTGGATTTGAAATTCAGGTAAGGCTCTGTTGCTGCACTGTTTCAGTACTGAGTCTTTACAAAACCACAGATCAGTTGTGTAGCATTCATTGCAGTTGGGTTGACTCTCTGTGGGTTGCTTCCCACACTGGGGGATGGGGTCCTCCTCAGCTGTTGATGATGTTTGGGTGTTTATTTTGTCTGGACAGACCTATGGTCTGCGAGCACAGAACAGCACTCTGATGGAGATGTACACCTTCATCTCATCCGTGCAGCAGGACAGCCCGGCTGAGCGTGCCGACCTAACAGTAGGTGAGCCCACCCCTCCTCCCACTTCCTCCACAAACTTCCTCTGAAATGCTCTCTTGCAGACACCCACCCATGTAACACAGCTAACCGCTGAGGTCCACCACCCCTCAATCACCCCCCGTTTCTCATGCCAGGTGACATAATCGTCACTGTCAACGGCGTCTGCACGGAGGGGTCTGCACACCAGTGCATTGTGGACCTGATCATGGAGTGTACCAACATTTTAACGTGAGTATGCTGTAGCGCTGCATTGCTGGGGTGCCCCTGAGAAGATCCCATGACAATCAGGAATCTGAACTTGCGACCAAAGCCTGAGAATCCAGGAAGGCTTTGCATGCTAATTATATCATATTTAGACATACAAATGCAACTAATGCAACTTTTCCCCAATATTCACTAAATTTAATTTAAGAGATTAAGACTGATTGGTATCAATGTGCTCTTGGTAATAGTTCCCCCTTACAGACTGCACTCATAAATTATCATGATATATTATGCTAATCAAAACATGTTTAACGGTAAACTGCACGATTAACGATATCTGGTGACAAAATATGACATCTGACATAAACAGGGCCTGCGATCTCAGTTTTGGGGTGGCTGCTGTTACTCGCAGTTCCTATATTTAGTTGCGCCACCGTTACTTACAGTCTAGAGCTGAACAGAGAAAACACGAAAATAGGCGCGAACCGAAATCCTTTCTGCATCTGCCTTTTCTCGTCAGACTTATTCTGGCGAAAACGTGAGGTTTTGTTTCAGTACCATTTACGTCGTTAGACTTCACAGCCACAGCACTGGTATCCCCACTGCCATGCATTGCTGTTTGTTCAGTCCCATCAGCAATTCATTCATGTTGGCGGATCTCACTTGCCCTCTTAAACATTGTATTTCCAGCACAATAAGTCTGATTGCGGTGCTGAATATTACACTCCCTCAGTCCGATTATGCACCCCCAAGTGGGAAAAAATAAGAAAAGCAGGGGGCTTTTTTACATTGATGTGTATTTTAAAATTATATTGAGGATTTCATCAGTGTAATTTTAGGTATGTTCTAAACGTCATTGTAACTTACGCTGTAACAAGTCATTGTAACTTACGTTACACTGTAACTTAAGTCACCGTAACTCAGCACCTCAATTGTCTTTTCACCTGGCCGACAGGATCGAGACGGTGGGGGGCACGGCCGTGAAGATGATCGAGCTGGATCGGAGACTGAGGCAGTTGAAGGTACGTCTCCCCCCTCCCCTTCCCGCTTCAGCTGATCGCACTCTCCAGGAGATCTTTACCGGATCCGGCAGCATAACATCCGCTGACCTGAGCGTAAAACTAGAGCTGATCACCCAGAAACTAAAAACAGCTGAGCTTTTTTCTGGGAGTGACCCGTGCAATGAAGTCATGCAGTAATCACTTTAGCACGGCTTTCGAGCCTCAGCGGTTTGTGAGCGCTGAGGCGTTTCCGCCGCGTGAAGAGTCCGCGCATCTTCTCACGGCCCTTTTCTCACGTGATCCTTTTTTTCTCCCGCTCAGAAAAGCCTGCGTGACAAGTGCGTGGAGCTGCGCGCACTGATGCTGAGAGAGCGACACCTTACCGGAGGTAAACCGACAGGTGCAGGATGTCCTCTCTGCTTGCATAACAAAAAACAATCCATGTTCCTGTAAATGCCCGCTTTCTCAGATCATGTCTAACAGGCTGACGGCTTCCGTTTACCATGCAAATAAATTATTTGGTGAACATGTGCTTATCAAATAATGTACTTTAATTGAGACCATCTAAAACAAAAATCTAAAAAAAAAAAATCGTTCTAATTTTTTAGATGATTAAAATGCTGCTGTGACATCCCGGGAAAAAATGGGGGGGTCCTATTATTGCTCAAGGTCCTGTGCTACAGCTCAAATTAGCCTATGTGCAAGTGGCTGACCCAATGAGGAACCCTCTCTTCTGTTTCCAGGCAATCTCAACGACTGCCTGTCGCTGGACTCGGCGGGGTCTGTGGCCTCGCCTGGTGGGCGGAGCGGTCTGCGTTTCTCCAGCGACAGCAGCTGCCGCAGCTACACAATGGAGGACAGCGAGGACACCAGTGTGTTCGAGGACCCGAGCCCGCAGAGCCCAGCGGGGGACGACGCCTGCTTCTTTCCCGCCGACTTCCCGCTGCGTCCGCCCCAGACCTCCTTGTGCCGCACACGGAGCGTCAGCCAGGGCAGTAGTGGCTCGGTCTCTCCGCGGTGGGATCTGCCAGAGGCTTCCTCGCCATTCGGGACAGTCCCCCGCAGGCTGAGACAGGGCAGCGTCAGGAAGCGCTTCCTGAAGTTCATTCCTGGGCTCCATCACTCCGTGGAAGAGGAGTGACCGTGCAGCCGACCCCAGGGACACGTCAGCATTACCGGCACGACACGAGATGGGACTCGGTGCCGACCTCCATGCAAACACGTTCGGAAAGACTTTCTGCCACACTCAATTTTCACAAATAAGAAACATTATAAATGATCATTTTCCCGTAGAGTGAAGCAGACTTGAATGTTTGATATGAGTTACAAGTGATGAGAGGTTGATACACCCCGCCAAGTAGCATTATAATTCTGAAAAATATATTCTGGTATTTGTGTGAATATATGTGAGGGCACAGCAGTTGTTCCTGTCTGAAGTTACACATCTGTGACCTTTTTTGCCACTGCGCCTCTCTACTCATCACTGGGTGACTTTGTGCTATTTAGGATTCAGGTCACGTCATGCTTTCTATTTTTGTTATGTTGTTTTCCATTTGTTTATCTGATGCCTTTATCTCATACATCAGATAGGGTAATCTTTTAAGTATGCACCCTGGGATTTGAACCAACAACCTCGTTAATGCAATGCTCTCTTTTTTGAGCTGCAGGATGTACTTTTTCAGTTTAAGGTTTGGTTTTCAGCAGGTTCAACTTTAAAGATGGAGAAAAAACTCCATGTGGTCGTGCTTAGACAGAAAATGAATTCTTCAAACAGAGCAACAAGCATTAAGCGATGGACGGATGGATTTTTTAGGCTAACTAAACTGAGAATCCACCTTCATGGACGGCTTTGGCTGAAGGCAGCGCCATTATGAGCCCCCTGACGATGGTCTCAAGCTCACACTTCCTTATGGGTTTCTTTTCTGTTGGCTTCAGCTGTCTGTCACACTCAGTACATGCATCTGTGTTCATATTTACAGTTAAAAGGAAGGTTCCCACGTCAGAACTGTGACCCACCCTGTAAATTACATGTATCTTTGTAATTTTTTAACACTTGCACACATCTTTTGTGAGTTTGCATTGCAGAACTGGATACTGATTTTTTTAGGCCCCCCTGTCAGAGTTAGGGGCCCCTATCAGAGGCAAGGCAGCAGCAGACTGTGGCCCCTACAGCTTCAGAGGTCCTGGGGCAGTGGGGTGAGCTGACCTTTGAGGGCAGTACGCCAGCAGCATGTCTGCTCGCGGTCCCTCAAAAAGCTGCAGAGAAGTTGAAAACAGGATGTGGGTGTCTGAAGGTGTGAAGCGTGCTGGCTGTCTTTCCGCAGCAGCATTCTGTGCCCCCCCGCCTTGGATATTTACACACGCCAACCCATCTCGGTCGGCCAGTGTCTGGTTCTGCTGTTTTCTGCATTTGCAAAACTTTGTGTTCTTATTTTCAACGCAGGACCTCAATGTCAGAAGGGTCCAGCTTGCTTTTTTATACGAATATCGACTGCATGACATTATTTTCCCATGTTTGTTAACAGCAAAACTCCATCAATTACATGTTTATATTAAAAGCACAAATTAAAAAAAAAAATGTAAAAAAAAAATGTTGCTTATTGAGAGAAACATTCATTATTGAGAGTGACATTTAAAAGTACATCATTCAAGGCTCAGAGGGTACATCTGTAACGGCTGAAGTTCAGGGTTGGAGGTTCGAATGGCAGCCCTGCTTTGTGCATGTGGAGTTTGCCTGTTCTCTTCCGTGTTGAATGGATTTCCTTAGGGTAACCCCACTCCTGCACAGGTAGGCGAACTGGTGCCTGTGAACCATATTGGCTGTCTGTGTGGGTGTCTGTTTTGCTATTAACTGGCATCCTATCCAGGGTGTTCCCCAAACACAAAGGTGTTCCCCTAAAGCCGTGTCCAGCTTGCTGATAAGTATTGAAATATATTCATTTCAAATGCAGAGTGACCCCTATATAGTGTTAAACTTCATTTGAAGTCATGAACACCTGGGGTTGAAGTTCTGTTGTGGTCCTCAGCAAACTGATGCGGTCTGATTCTGATTTTGCTTTTGCTGAAAGTGGAAATGTGGTTTTGGAAAATGTGAGTTTCACACTTTTCAGCTGTGCACTTACTGCGTGCAACTGTGTTCCTTTACAGGTTTGCCAGGACTTTGTAGCCCCCTCAGTAACATACAGCCATGCTCTGGGGAGAATCAGAATCAGGTTTATGTGGTACGTTTGCTGGCATACACAGGGATTCTGCCTCCAGGTGTCAATGGCTCTCCTGTGTCTTTACATGGCAGCTTTTGGAGAACAGGAGAAATTTCTGTTTATTTTTTACAGTGTTACTTGTAATTTTCATATGTTTTAATGTTAAATTGTTTTCCCCCCCTATGCAAACACACCTTCCACCCAGATAAACAGCCTTAAACATTTTCTTTGACTGCCTTAAGACTTTTGTACAGTACAGTATTGTAACCCTCTCTGTTTGTTAGCGCTCCAATTAAAAGAGCATATCATTTAGTAATCAGTTTGACTTAGATGTCTTGTACTTCAACCATAGTTCCCAGTATAAGGAAGTAAGTGGGGCGCTGGAGGGTTTGGGTATTTATAAGGCACAAAGAGGTGTGGGAGGTTTGACGTTGTTCTCTCTGTAAGGGGGCCGCAGGCTGTCGCCACACCCAAACCACACCAGAGACGTTAACCCTCAGGTTTCGCTGTGCCCTGTGCTCTCTGCGTCAGCCACGGAGTTCAGCCATGCGGGGTGTCTGTGCAGAGCCCTGCCGTCCGTCAGAGCCCAGTACTTATATGGGAGTCTGCTCAGTGTGGCCGGGGGCAGGGGGGTGCTGGTCTATGTGGGAACCACCCAGACTGGCTAGTCTATACTTCCTGCTGGCTCAGAAAGACAGGGGAACTGTGAAATTGCCGTGGTAAAGAGGACTTTTTCAGAACCTTCTGTCTTCTATAGGGCAACAAGCTTCTACTGAATCAGCGCTAAAATTCAAGCCTCATAATTAAAAGAAGATGCTGCAGATAAATCTCACAGAGGTGAAGGCTGCTTCTTTGGACCCGTTAGAGTGTCAAATCATGTGATGTGAAAATGGATTTCTCATTTTGTGGAGACAGTTTACTTTTGAACTTCCTCATTCCTTTTACGTGCATACGAGAGTAAACCACCCAGTGTAGTACGGTACTAAAATAGCATCCTCTGATGCCACAGGTTTAAGCTCACACAGCGCTAATGGCCAGTATGTTCCATTATAATTCTTACTGGACAACCTCGTATCCAGTCAGTCTTTAATGTCAATCAGTTTTAGAACAGATTCTAAAGCACTCCATGTGTAACTTCACCACATGTCCAGCAGGGGTCACTACATTGGGTCAATAGTCGCACCACGCTGTCCTGTGATCTTTGGTCTATGCTTACACATAGTAATGCATTATCACAGATTTTATATGATGTGATCCATTTTATTTACTAATTCATTTAAAATGTTTTTCCAGCCTGTGTTATTGTTGGATAAAGGATGGTGTTCATGGATGTTTCAGCCAATCAGCATCCCAGTCTGGAATGACTTTGAATGTGTTTCCACCAGTCAGGCTCCTGGTCCTGCCTCGCTTTACGATTTAATGTCTGCAATATGATGTTTTATCCCTTTATGGAGATATTTCTAATAATCTAGCTTTTCCACTCACATTGAATCACCCACAAGTCCCTGGTTCACTTCATTTGGGTTTATTTGATGCTTCTGCTCGTGCTTTTATTTTTTTTTCTTAAAAAAAAAAAAGCACCTTGACGATTTTTTGCGCATGTGTTTTGTACACATGAAATCCCCCGACTTCTGAGGTACAGCAGCACAGCACATCGCCAAACCACATCCCATGTGCCTGCATGTGTCTGTGAGTCAAAGGTGTCGGTGACCCAGAGTTGCCCCGTGAAATCCCCCCCGGTGCTGCTTCTGCCTCTGACGTCATCACTGGCCCAACAACTTAAAACATAAGAATTTAGAGATCAATGTTGACACACTATAGCATAACAACAACATATGCATTTAACCAAAATGTGACATCATGACATAGCAGGGGGCAGCTAATTCTGCACCCGTTGAGCAGTGCTTGGGGGCGGTACCTTGCTCAGGGTACCTCAGTGGTGCTTTGCTGGTCAGGGATTTGAACCTGCAATCTTTTATTTACAAGTGCACTTCCCTAACTGTTAAGCCGCCACTGCCCACAAAGTGAGCCATAAAGATTAATTCAACCATCCTCCATAACTGCATGCCCAACTCAGGGTCACGTTCAGCAGGGAGCCTATTCCGGAAAACATAGGGCCCATCATAGGGGACAGGAAGCCAGTACATCTGGAGACATATGCTCACACATTACCAGCAACTTGGAGATGTTAATTCAGACACTAATTTTTTTTTTACAAACCACGCTCTATTCATGTACATACTGTGTGTCTGCAGTCCTGCTGTGTTATGTGCTCTATGTTTGGTCTGTGTCCAACCCCCGTGTTTGCATTTGTATATTTAATCTGCACTTTACCCCTGTAGTTGTGTACATAAAGCCCCCCTACCACGTGTCTTATGTTGCACCATGGTACGGGGGGAATGACGTCTTGTATCACTGTATACTTGTATATAACTGGCACCAAAATAAAGTCTCTTGACTTCACTCGAGCTAAATGCATGATATTGATCTGGAACACCGGAAGGAAACTTGCAGAGAATGTGCAAAACACTACATTTGGGGGGGGGGGGGTTCTGAATCAAACCCGTTAAACTGAAGGTGCCAACAGAACTGCCCCCATAACAATGATGATAATACTATTCAGGTGAGAGAGGTAAGGACGTCTCATCTCTGACATCTAACCGTGCATGTGATGGAAACCCAAGACCAGAACCCCCAGCTGGGGGGCTGCACCTTGGCTGACTGGCCGCACCTGTCTTCACCAAAACATGGATGGTCCAATTACGCATGGAAAAGTACACGATTCATGCAGAGTGAGGTGGCTTCGATGCCTGTGGACACCAAAGCTCATGTCTGGCATCTTTTAGATCTCATGGGTGAGTTACATGGGTGAATTTTTCCCCATTTATCCAGAAGAACACTTGTGAGGTCAGGCACTGATGTTAGACGTGAAGGCCTGGCTCACAATCTCTGTTAATGGGGTTGAGGTCAGGGCTCAGTGTGGGTCAGTCAAGTTCGTCCACACCAAACTCACCCAACCATGTCATCATGGATATTGCTTTAGCACTGGGGCACAGCCATGCTGGAACAGGAAAGGGCCTTCCCAAAGTGTTCATACAAAGTTGGAAACATAGAATTATCCGAAATGTCTTGGTAGGCTGAAGCATTAAGGGTTCTGTTCACTGGAACTAAGGGCCCAACCCCTGAAAAACAGACCCATACCATTATCCCTCCTCCACTAAACTTTACAGTTGGCACAGTGTAGTCGGGCAGGTAATGTTCCCCTGGCATCTGTCAAACCCAGACTCGTCCATCTGACTGCCAGACAGAGAAGTGTGATTCATCACTCCATAGAACATGTATCCACTGCTCCATAATCCAGTGGCAGTGTACTTTACACCACTGCACCAGATGCTTGGTATTGTACTTGGTGATGTGAGGCCTGCATGCAGCTGCTCAGCCATGGAAGCCCATTCCATGAAGCTCCCAGTATAGAGTTTTTGTGCTGAGGTTAATGCCAGAGGAAGTTTGGAACTCTGCTGTTATTGAGTCCATAGAGCGTTTGGTGACTTTTACACACTTTGTGCCTCCATACTCCGCAACCCCGTTCTGTTACTTTATGTGATCTGCCACTTTGTGATTGAGTTTCTGTTGTTCCTAAATGCTTCCACTTTTCAATAACATCACTTACAGTTGACCATGGAATGTCTAGCAGGCAAGACATTTCACAAACTGACTTATTGCAAAGGTGGCATCCTATGACAGCACCCTGCTTGAGTTCACTGAGCTCTTCAGAACAGCCCTTTCCTTCACGAATGTTTGTAAACCTGACTGCATGTCTGGGTGTGTGATTTTATATACCTGTGGCAATGGGTCTGAATGAAACACCTGGATTCAATGACTGAGAGGTCATTACTTTTGTCTATATAGTGCATGTGGTCCCAGTTCTAGATCTCAAATTTATCTCTTAGCTGGGCATACTCATTCACAAACCTGACCCACAAACCAAACAATTATCTAGATTTGAAAGGCAGCCAAACGGAAATTATGACAGAATTAAAAGTCTCTTTTATGCTGCCATTGGAAAATAAAGTGCTGTTCACTGACCTAGAAAAATAACTCAAATTTCCTGCTCTTCCTGCTACTCACTTAATGATTTACACAGTGCAAAATGCATGCTTCAAACAATTATATTTGTTCAGACAATTAGAGTGACAGAAGATTTGGCATACATAAATGAAACAGTAGCATCCAATCAGATTTTTGAAGGCTTTCAAGTTGGCAGGAGATAATGTTTGCATAATGTTAGCACAAGGGAGCAATTCTGAATAATAAAAAAACAGAGAAACAGCAAACGTGTGATGAGATGTAGCGTTCAGTTGGAGGTTTCCCAGAAGCTGTCGTGATGTCCACGCCCTGTGCAAGGCAACCAGAGCTGCTGTTG